TGAAAAATACAGACTACTCGGCTTCACAAAGCATATGCAACCAATAATACGTGTGATTGAGCTATTCTTCCATAGATGGACTCTCACAACGATCCTAGTAAGCAAATGACTGACCCTAAAAACTACCTAGTCTGCAAGATGACATGTTATAAGTGTTTTGATGTTTTATAGGTTTTTTTACATAATACCCGTGTGCAAAATAGGAGAGTATCGACAGAAAAAAATAGCTTTGACTGCAAAGATTACTTTTATTATCACACTCTGTATTTTAGTAAATGAAATGAGCATCATGATACACAGTCCATTCACCATTTCCAAATAAACAGCAGCTGTTAAAAAAGGTGAATGTGCACGTGTTATGCTGTAAAAAAGTAGTTACATTTTTATTTACAACAAATTGTGTCAAAAGATATTGACAGTTGACAGTAATGCAACAATAATTAGTAAATAGGAAACAAGGGATATTTTCAAATTAGATTTTTCACTGAAGTTGAACAACAGATGGATGTAATGTTAACGATTTACGTTAGAATCATTCGGCACTTATTTACATTATTTTGTTAATATAACTAAATAAATTTACTCTGTGTTGTTATTTTTATAAGCCATTCTGTCATCTGATCCATCACGTGATTGGTCAATTTAGTTTTGACATTCAAATTTTATTTCGTATTCTTTTTTGTAACCTTTCACTGTGATTTCAACAAAAATAATACGAACTACTTTAAGAAGGAGATTGCAGAAATGCTTTTTAGGGATACTTGTCCGCATATTTATTTGAGTTTTTATTCAGCGATGGAAAGAAGACTTAAGCGGAACACTTTGTATCTTTTTTACTTCCTGTGTCAACCGGCGATGTCTGACTTATGGGATGGGTGGCTAGCGAGTGTTGAGGATAGTCATAGCAACGTTGCCAGATGGTCGGTACTGTCGGTAGGGCAAGGAAGACAGATATAGATCGCAACATTGTCCAATGAGTGGGGGATCCGGTGTAATTGTATGGTCGGTCCCGTTTGACTGACTTGATCCATTCAATTTTCTTGTTGTAAGATAATCTTTATTGATCCTGTGGAAAGCGTAGATTCAGCCAATTATTAACGATGATAAACGAAACTGGTGGACGGTTGCGTTGCAACATGCAAAAATGTTACCCAAATTCAAACCTCGATATTTTCGGAAAGGAAAAAGATATCGAGTTGCGATATTCGGGAGATTCTTGACCAACTCTTCAAGAATACGTATACGGTCAAGTCATCGTTGGTTGTCAGAGCGGTCCGTGGGACCTTAGCTCTTGAGTCACAGTGTCGGTTTGTAAGTCTGTCAGGTCTGGTAACCCAGAAACCAGACAATTTTAAGGAAAAAAGGGGAAGGAAAGGAGAGAAGGAAGAACGAGAGCAAAGGGGAAGAAGAGAATCTTTTAGGATATGCAGCGTTTAGGCATTGTTAAAATCGCTTCACAGATTTTGATATGGTCTAAAAATATTTGATTTTTTCTAAAGATTGTGTAAAAATGCTCCAATTTTGGTTGTTCAAGTTCACGAGTTAATTTTGATTACAGTGCGAGCCGCGGCCTTTTGTGCTTGCGAACTTGCTCGACTGTGTAGTCCACTGAATCACGCAACAGAGGGTTGCTGTGCGATTCCGCTAGGCTATAGCGCCGCTGCGCCTGTTGCTTAATGTAGTCCTTTAGGTAAGGGACATCGAGGTCTCTATGTAGAGTTTCGTTAGAGACATACCATGGGGCATCAGCAATAGTGCGCAACGTCCTGCTTTGCAGAACCTGCAGACTTCGCATGTGTGTTTTAGCAATAAAACACCAAGCCGCACATGCGTATGTCATTGCTGGTCTTATGACCACGTTATAGAGTCGAATCTTGTTAATCAAACTTAATTTTGGCCGTTTACATAATAATGGGTAAAGCTGCCGAAACGTAATTTGGAATTTAGTTTTTAGCGCTTCCATATGGTTCCGCCAAGTCATCCCTTTGTCCAGAATGATACCGAGATACTTAGCGGAGGATTCCCATGGTATACGAAGTCCATTCATTGAAACTTCAGACGGAACGCCGCGACGTCTTTTTGTACAGTAGATTGCCTGAGTTTTCGAATGGTTTATTTTAATTAGCCACCGATCCGCCCAATCTAATACTTCTTCCACCGCACTTTGCAGCCTGTCATGGACTAGGTCACCAGACCACGACTGAGCCACCAATGCAGTATCGTCAGCATAGAGATAGACTTCACAGTTGCTGGGACTAGGGACGTCATGGATGTACAGTGAGTAAAGGATAGGTCCAAGGACCGAACCCTGAGGGACGCCGGCTGTAATCAGCCGTGTTGTCGACAGCACATTGTCAATTTTGATCCGAAATTTCCTACCTTCAAGGAAGGATTTCAGTAGTTTTAGAAGCCAAAAAGGGAAGCCCTTTTGGATTAGTTTATACAAGAGGCCCGCGTGCCACACCTTGTCAAATGCTTTTGAGACATCCAAAAGCAAGATGCCAGTACTTTCGTTAAGGGTGAATCCTCTGGTTACACGTTCCACCAGCCTAACCGCCTGTAGCTCCGTACTATGTTCAGACCGAAAACCGAATTGCACGTCAGGAATCACATGGTGATCTGACGAGAAATTCTCAAGGTGGTGTAGAATCACCTTTTCAGCGAGCTTAGACGCAGCTGACAGCAGGCTAATGGGACGATAATCCTGGGGAAATATCGAACCCACTTTCTTTGGAATCATTATAACTTCAGCGGTCTTCCACGCGGATGGGAAGTACTGGATCCTGAGCATGGCATTGACTATTGCCACGAGATAAGTTAAGGACTTCCGCGAAAGCAGCTTCAGCGCCTTATTAGTGATTTGATCCTCCCCAGGTGCTTTACGCACTTTAAGGTCTTTAATATGACCTTGAATCTCTGCTGGTGTGCAATGCGGGATCTCAGGAGATACCGCTGATGTGCTAAGCAAATCGTCGGTTGAAGAAGCTTCTGAAGAAGAATCTTCTGATGAAGAAAAATCACCAACGAATGCTCGACTGTCACTGACGCCGTTGGCCCTAAAATCTCTCCTGACAGATCTTACGATGTGTTGCTCCTCATTGAGGTCATTATCAAGATCATAGTTGGGAGAGAACTGTCTTTCCATGGCATCGGCGAAAACCTCAACCTTCTCCTCTGTCCTGAAGACAATGCCTCCAGGACCGTGAATGTGTGGGATTTGTTCACGCTTTCCGTTTTTGAGCGACTTCGCCACCTTCCAGAGAGAAATGCTTGAGTCAAGCATCCCCGCCAGAAAGTCGTTCCATTGCTCATTGCGGAATTCATGAAGAGCATTTCTTACTTCATGAACAAGATTCGTCGCTCTGCGAATGTCATCAGGATGACAAGACCTTTTCGCTTGCTTAATTGCAGCTCTTTTATCAGAAATTTTCTGACGAATGTCTGCTGGCAGAAAAGGTCTGCCGTGTCGCTGCACGGGAAGTACACCTGCACGCTGCAGAGTTTGCTGAACAAAACTTGTCCACTCTGCTTGAGCCGCATCTATACCGTTCTCATCATCTATGATCGGTATATTGGGGAACTCTTTGAGGAGCGACTTGTATAGCTCCCAATCAATGCGTTTCCTTGGAGGGATTTCATCCCCCACGATCTGCTCATTAGCCACTTCCAAAACGACGGGAAGATGATCGCTTGAGATGTCATACATGATTCGAGAAGTGATGCTGTAGCTACAGTTTTTGGATAATGCCAAATCAAGAACGTCAGGTGCCTGAAGGTGATTAAATGGGTGGTGCGTCGGCTCCTCAGTACTATGTATGAGGTAGCCATTTCGTATCACATGGTTGTACAGTCGGATCCCACTGGTGGAATTCAACCTAGAATGCCATGCTCGATGTTTGCAGTTGAAGTCCCCTGCCACAATAAGTGGACCCGAGTAGTCTAAAAGGACTTCCAGATCCGCCTCTTGCAGCCTGTTACCACACCTGACATACACCGATGTGATTTTTAACGGCACACCTCCCGCCATATTGACCACCACGGAAGCCGCTTCGATGCTCTGCATGTCAGCGTTTGTGCTTCTGTGGTAGTCAATACCGCGTTTCACTAGCACTGCCAAGCCGCCACCCCGTCCAGTCAATCTATCAGCCCGGATAACATCGAAATTCGGGAAAGCTAGACGATCTCCCGGATTAAGTAATGTTTCCTGCAGCAAGGCCACATCTATACTTTCGTCCACAAGAGCTTGATGAAATTCCCGTCTTCTGGGAATGTCCCTTAGACCCAAACAATTCCAAAAAAGAATTTTGATAAATGCAGGCTGTCGTCGATTGTACCTAGCCATTTGCAGGAAAGATCGCCTGCAAAGCCTGTGTTGCGCTAATCAGAGGACCTATGATCTGCTGTAAGGACCTTAGCGCGGTTGCCAGGTCCACATTTTGCGTGTTCGCAGAAGATCCCACAGAGGGGGCAGCCCGGGTTGCATCCCTAGCTGCATCCGCGTAACTTACATTGCGCCTTTGCGCTATCACTTGCAGATTTTTCTTAGGGGCAAATCTGCAAGTTCGGCTATTCGCTGGATGCCCCCCTCCACAGTTCGCGCACTTTCGTTCCTCTTGTTCTGTTTGAGGGCATAAGTGGGTCATGTGGTCAGGGGCACATTTTAGACATTTAGGTGGTGCAGTGCAGTAAGATTGCGCATGCCCATATTTTTGGCAGCGGTGACACTGCCCGATGAGTCTCGAGTTCTTTTGAACTTCGACTCGGATAGCCAAACCTAGCAGCTCGTGTTCGTTGAACAGCTGCTGAGATTTTTCTATCTTGGGCAGTATGACTACCACCAAAGGCATGGGCACGCCGCCACCGCGTTTCAGGCGAATTATGTGCAGGGGGGAATATCCCCTCTGTTGCAACTCTTCCTTGATCTCAATTTCCGAAAGTGTCGCATGTACTCCTCTGATTATAGCATGAATGTTCCTCTCGGAGGGTAGAGGGAAAGTGTGATGGGGCACCTCTTCCTCCCTGAAGAGACGAATAATCCTGCGGTAATCATCCTCGGACTTGGGAATTATCCTGATTCCTGCATCGACGGCAACCGCGCGTTCGAATTTGATGCCCAAGGAAATAAACTTGTGATTTACGCCTCGCCATCTCGAAGCATCGCGAAGAACGATGGGGGTAACACGTACCTTGCGTGGGGGCTGTGCAGTCGTGTCTTCTGGTACCTGAGATGTCGAAGGCGTGGAAGTAACCGATAGATTAGGCACAGGCTGTTTATTCGAGTCGCTTGCAGTTGAATGAGATGTTTCAGACTGCGATTTTGGTGAAGGGAGAGGAGGAAAGCCTGTCGTGTCGGTCTTGTTTCGTCGCGTTTTACGGGGCTTAACCTTGGTAAAACCGTCAGGGAGTGTATCGTCGTCTGTGGAAAGATCGCTTGAATTATTTAACGGTCTCTTAAGATTGACAGCTTTGTCTTTACTGGGATTTTTGGGAAGTGTTTGGGAAGAATTTGTAATATTTAGATGGGAAGGTACCTGGGTTTTCAGTAGGAGGTCTAATTTAACTGTTAGGTCGGTAATTGTCCGCTGCTGGGCTTCGATGATCATCATCAATCTTTCATTGGTCTTCTTATCATCGTCCTTTTTTGACAGCTCCTGTCGAACCATCTCCAATTCGGCTCTCAGCTCCTCTATGGTCTGCTCCTTCGACTCCATCTCCACTGCCATGGTGGAAGCGCCATTTCCTGACCCCCCTGGGTCAGTTTCCATATTAAATACCTCGGTTATCTCGCTTTTCGTCTAAAAATTTTCCGGATCGAAATTACGGGACAGCTGCTATCAGTGCCCTATACAGGGCGATTACGTATACGGTTCGATCGGTATATTTCTATAAATAAATAATTTACTTATACAGGGTCAGCAAAGCAAGTCATGTTTTTCAGTAAAGTTCAGATACTCAATTTTTGATGGAAATTTTTCTATGCATCTTTTCGATCTTTGAACTAAAAAATGTAATTTCTCAAATTTTCTGAAAATTGGCTATAACTTAAATTGTTGAATTTAAGAAAGTGTTACATTTATCCCTAAAATCCCTTTTTTGGGCTTTCTGTTGAGAATGGGTATGTTTGGTCACACTGTTGCATAAAAATTTGATAATTTGACTTACAGCGAAATTTCGAAAAATTACTTTTTTTAAAAATTGAGAATTTGACGTAGACGAAACATTGATAAAAAACCTGACTTTCCTTGCTCACCCTGTATAAAAGAAATATACCGGTCAGACCCTGTACGTGTTCTGTCACTTTTTGAGGATGAATCGGCTGCTCTTGATACTCACGGGGATTTTCGTTCGCCCAGATGCGGCAGTTTTGCTTGTTTACCGTCCCATTCAAAGTGAAATGCGCTTCGTCGCTGAACATGATTTTTGATGAAAAATTGGCATCAATTTGGCGGTGTTCAAGGAGCCAATCTGAGAACGTTCGGCGCGAAAAATGGTCGGCCCGACGCAGCTCTTGCGTCAATTGGATCTTGTAGGCGTGTACATTCAAATCCTTGTGGAGAATGCGGAGCAAACTGGTTCTCGAAATGCCCAATTCTTGGGATCGACGCGTTGTTAATTGTTTCGGATCGTCTCTCACACTCTCCTTCACAACAGCAATATTTTCCGATGTGCGAACGCTCCTTGGCCGGCCAGAGAATTTACGCACCAGACGACCGATGGTTGTTTCGTTTGGGCGGTTGTTGCGACCGAAATGTTCACGAAGCGCGCGAAACGTGTTTTTTATTTTTGCACCATTTTTGTAGTGCTCTTGAATAACATTAATGCGGTCTTCAATCGAATACGACTCCATAGCGATCAACGGTAAACATTCAACTAACAAAATGACACGTCGGTGACAGAAAACGAAGATGGCGTCTATGTCAAATTGACGTTTACTTTCCTGCGTCCCTATTGGACAACCCTTTATAATGCTTTGTTACTCACCATTGCAAGAATCTGCGTCCCTCATTCCATCCATGCATTCGCAAATCATAGCCTCGTCCTCTCCGCCATTTTTGTTCCTATTGTTGTTATTGTTGCCGCCGTTGTTGCTGTCACCGTTTGATTTCGATGTGTCTGATGGTTGCGTGCAGGTAGCTCCATCCACACACTCTTCATCTTTCTCGCAACGATGGTTTGGCGCTGAAAAAGAGTTTAGTTTTGGATCAATGCATACCCGAAAGCACAGGCCTTTTTTTTTTCAGGCCTGATGAAATACAAGACTAATCGAACTTCAAAGAGGACAAGAGGTTCCACAGGGTGAGTCTGAAGTGATTACATTTCTGTAAGACAGTATTTAAATTAACAAAAAATTGACTTTATCTAAAGTATAGGACCCAAAACAAATGTAACTTTTTCTTATTTGACAAATTGCAATAATAAAGCTCAAGTATACAAGACTATTAACCCAAAAAAATGCGAGCTTAGCACAAATAGCTGAAGGAATAATTCTATTATGCTGCGATTAAATCTATATTTCCTTGTATAAAAATATCGTAAACGCGTGCACTTGAGGCAGGTGGTATTTGCATTACGGATATCGTGATTTCATAGCCTCAACATGGGCGTAATCTCTCACTGCGATCTGACATAAATAGTGTGCTAATACAACAATTACTGTGAACTTGCCGCAAGCTGCCGGCGCCCGATAAAGCGGAGGAAAGGGAGTTAATATTTCAGCCTGCAAAATTACCTCGCGCACTGTATATTTATTAACCGCGGCAGCTCAGGAGCAATAATGTGAGGAAATTTTTGGTAACGGCATTTCGTATGTATACAGGGTGTCCCAGAAGTCGACGTCAAGCCGAAACCGGGTGATAGGCAAAGTCATAACAGCTATCAGAAAAATATTTAAAAAAATTTTATGTGTGTTTTGAAAATTATAGGTCTTTGAAAAAAATATAGAAATTTCACATCCTACGGCAGTCTGTCAACTCCTGTTAGTACTAATATTAATTTTTTTGGATTTTATTTTTACAATGTAATGATGAATAATGCATCTTCAATCTGGTGTCTCAACCTTACTGCCAACTTTTCTCGTTCAGGAAAAATTGCCACTTATTTCCCAACCAAGTATTCCAAAGTAAAACTTTGCTCAACTTTAACTGGCTGTACTGGAAAAAAATGTACTACGAGAGTTTGGCAAGTAACCTTAAAAGTTGGCGCATTCAATAAGGATTCCAAAATGGTATAACACTTAGAAGATTACTCGTTAACTTATGCACAATTTTTATTTGAAAAAAAACTGATGAAAATTTTTCAAAATTTCCTAATTAAACAGCGATTATGAAAACGCACAAGGACCCTCAAGGATAACTGTTTGCACAACAGTGGGCGTCAAAATGCTGCTGATGATGATCCGTACCACATACAGCGTGTTCAACCTCTAGTGCCCCGGGATTATGAGCCCCGAGTTGCTTTTTGTCGCACAATGTTAGAAATACACAGGAAAGATCCACAGTTCTTTGAAAAAATTTTATGGTCGGATGAGACCACATTTAAGAAAGATGGGTACATGAACCTGCATAACTTACACGAGTGACACGTAGCAAACCCACATTTGATGAGAGAAGATAAATCTCAATATCGCTTCAAGATAAACCATTGGACAGGAATTTTAAATGGTAAAATAATCGGTCCGTTTGAGTTCCCAGAGACTTTGACTGCTGAAGTTTATTTGGATTTTTTGAAAAATCAAGTACAAAATTTATTGGTGGACGTGCCACTGAGTATTTACAGGGACATGTGGTTTCAGCATGATGGCTGCCCAGCGCACTATGCACTCTCAGTGAGAGAGTATCTCGATTAAAACTTTCCAGGCAGATGGATAAGGCGGTCTGGTACAATACCGTGGCCAGCCCGATCACCTGATTTGAATCCTTTAGATTTTTTTACTGGGGAACTGTAAAAAAAAGTGTATTTCAAGCCGATTCAAAATGTAGCTGAGCTACGGCAAAGACTATTGGAAGCAGCTGAGTTTGTTAATAACCGTGGATTCGCTCGTTTAATAACCCGATCTTTTTTAAGAAGATGTCGAGCGTGTATTGCGGCTGAAGGAAAACAGTTTGAGCATTTGCTGTAAAGGTAAATCATCATCAGCAGCATTTTGACGCCCACTGTTGTGCAAACAGTTATCCTTAAGGGTCCTTGTGCGTTTTCATAATCGCTGTTTAATTAGGAAATTTTGAAAAATTTTCATCAGTTTTTTTTTTAAATAAAAATTGTGCATAAGTTAACGAGTAATCTTCTAAGTGTTATACCATTTTGGAATCGTTATTAAATGCGATAACTTTTAAGGTTACTTGCCAAACTCTCGTAGTACATTTTTTTTCAGTACAGCCAGTTAAAGTTGAGCAAAGCTTTACTTTGGAATGCTTGGTTGGGAAATAAGTGACAATTTTTCCTGAACGAGAAAAGTTGGCAGTAAGGTTGAGACACCAGTTTGAAGATGCATTATTCATCATTACATTGTAAAAATAAAATCCAAAAAAAGTTAATATTTGTAGTAACAGGAGTTGACAGACTGCCGTAGGGTGTTAAATTTCTATATCTTTTTCAAAGACCTATAATTTTCAAAACACATACATAAAATTTTTTTAAATATTTTTCTGATAGCTGTTATGACTTTGCCTATCACCCGGTTTCGGCTTGACGTCGACTTCTGGGACACCCTGTATACAGGGTGGGCCATAAGAGTGTTGGCGTTTGAATTTTAAATTTCTCGGAAACGCGGGGCGCGGGTTGGTTGGGAGAGGATAAGCCGTTAGCCGCGCCGTTGCCTGCGAATTTAGTCGCCATGGAGCGCAGCATGCATTCCGTGTATGCGTATTATGAAAACGATAAATCGGTTATTACTACGTCAACCGAGATTGTTGGACCGTACTTTTTTTGGGACGAAAGAGGACAAGCGATAACAGTTAAGGCTAACAATTATTGCAATATGATAACAGACTTTTCGGTGCCAGCTTTGCAAGAATTCCAAGGCAATACCTCTAGAATGTGGTTTCAACAAGATGGGGCCACATGTACAGCTAGAGCTGCTGAAGACTCATTTCGAAAAGTTGGGACATTGAATGGCCACCACAAATCGGTGGTCTACGAGAACAAACCAACTAATTTAGAACAGCTAAAGAGGAATATTGTTCAGGAAAGTAACAAGATACCGACAACAACTTTTCAACGAGTTTTCCAACATCTGCAGCTTCGGTTTCAAGAATGCCAGGCGAAGTCATTTGAACAACATTATTTTTAAATCTTAAAAATTCCTATCTTTCTACTTTTTAAAAATCCATTTATTTTTCTTTTACATTGCGTAGTTATTTTTTAATTGAATATTGAAATTGCCAACGCCTTTATGGCCCACCATGTATATGGATTAGGTTGCTTGTAAACGGCTGAAAATGTCATTCAGACGTATTCTACGAGCCCACAAAGAGACAATAGTTGCATGTCAATGGTTTTGTGATATATTTTATCATTGGTGCACGTATATTTTATGAGAAGCTTTGATGATTCAAGGTTTCAGTCATTGAGTGCTTTGATTCAAGACAGAGATGCCTTATTTATTTATAGATAATCGCCCAATAGACTAATCCAAGGCAATACGTAATGGCAACTTAACTAATAGTGCGCATATAAGAACGGATAAAACGAAAGTAAAAAAAATGGGTATTATATACTAAGTGACATATGAATCCGAACACCCAGTTTAAATGGTTTTATTTTAATAAAAGTTGGTGAATGTATTTATCTTACTGTAAATAACAAGTGACAAAATTTTCAGCCTTATCAGTTGGACATTCCGGTTTTTATACTGCTTTTTTTTAATTCACTAACGATCTAAAATGAATATTTCAGCCGCAGTAAAGAATAAACGTTGGCGGATTTTGGTTCTTCACATCCTTTACGATCGGTTACGGAGACCTGTACGATTTCGTCAACTTAGTGAGTTTGATAGAGGCCGTATAGTGGGACTTCGGGAAGCTGGACTTTCTTTTCGGGCAATTGCAGTTAGAGTGCAAAGAAGTGTAGACACTGTGGTTAGGTGTTGTCAGGCATGGCTTCGAGAAGGCCGTACGCAAAGTGCAAGAGGCACTGGACGCTGCCGTAGAACAACATACCGTGAAGATCGCCGCCTAAGATTATTGGCCTTAAGGGACCGTTTCTCCACTTCCAGGTCCATTGCAAATGAATGGTTTGCAGAACACGGAAGACCTATTGGCATGCGAAGTGTTTACCGACGAATGAGAAGTTTTGGCTTGTTTTCATACCGGCCACACTGGGTCCTCCCTTTAACTCGAGAACACCGACGTAATCGCCTTGAGTGGTGCAGACAACGGTCACTCTGGGATCAGGAATGGAACAGTATTGTCTTTAGTGACGAGTCTCGATTTTGTTTAGGCATGCACGATGGTCGTGCCAGGGTTAGAAGGCGACGTGGTGAAAGGAGGAATCCACAGTTTTTTGTTGAAAGACATGTTCATCAGACTGTTGGAGTTATGGTTTGGGGTGCTATAGCTTATGGTTCCAGGTCACCTTTAATCTTCATCAGAGGTAACATGAACGCGCAGCGTTATAATCACGAAGTTCTAAAACCCCGTATTTTCCCTATCTTAACACCCTAGCAGATCCAACTTTCCAACAAGATAATGCCCGACCACATGTTGCAAGAGTCACAATAGACTTCTTTCAACCTAACGATGTCACATTGTTACCATGGCCATCAAGATCTCCCGACGTATCCCCAATTGAGCACGTGTGGGATATGATGGGTAGCAGATTGCTCAATTTGCAACGTCCTCCTCAGACTCTAGAAGCACTTCGAGAGGAGTTGGTGGTTGCCTGAAATGAGATACCACAGGAGGACATTGACCACCTGATCAGAGGCATGCCTAGGCGCGTTGGAGAATGCGTAGCACATCAGGGTGCATCCACACATTATTAAAGGTCAAAGGGCTTTAAAGCAGTGCAATCATTTTGAAATTTTTATCATTTACTTATTATGCTTCATCAAGTACTTATACAAAATTTTATTCAAATAAAACCATTTAAACTGGGTTTTCAGATTTATATGTCACTTAGTATAGTAGTCCCTAAAGTTTGACAAATGCCTACTGGCCCAATCGAAATTAATGACCGAAATGTGTTATGAAATTATAATTCAAAATAAAATAGAAGGCCTTGGTACCAACTTGACCTTTCTTGGGAGATAGTTTATCAAAGTTATGTATTAAAAGTTCCTTTTTACCGTTTGTGAGTGTTGAGAAACGGAATTTAGCAATGACGAGTACGTCATTATTTTTGTGTACGGGGGTTCTGTAACGGAAAAGCTTTAGCGGCCTTTCCGGAGTATCAACGAAGATTTCCTAACAGACGAGAACCTACCCCATTTCTAAGACTTGTCAAACTCACCGTGTATGATGTTAAATTTTTAATCACGACTTATGAATAACCCTGTATAATATGCATAGAATAAAAAGAGTCCTTATTGATGTGTTTGTTGGAAAAGCTGGCAGATCAGTTTTTTTTAAAAACGCTCAGACTCGTCGATTTTGTTTTCGATGGGGACACAAGTTTGGCGAAAAATCACGTCAGCACGTACAGCCCCCTAAGCGGGGGCGACACCACCCCCAAAATCTTAAATGGAAAGGGGGGTCGAGTGATACCTTATTTTAAATGTCTTTCAATTCGCTTTATAATGATGTGTCACTAGTTTTGAAGATTTAATAATTTGAAGCTTGAAGTAGACTTTAATAGGTACATACTATGTACTAAATTCCTATTTAAAATAAGTATGAGATATTTCCGTACCTTTCTTCAAGATATAACTTTTATGCCACAAAAAATGCTCCGATAGCTATTTTCAACAACAAAATGATAAACAAACCATGGGCGTAATGAAGAAAAGCATTTACTTGTTAAGTAAATTCTTTTAGTCAAATTTCTTCTGAAAGTAGTACAAACTAATCTTATGTACCTATTAAAGTCTACTTTAAGCTTTAAATCAATAAATCTTCAAAACTAGTGAACTGAAGCTCATGTATTTTACATCATTATAAAGGGAATTAAAAGACCTTTAAAATAAGATATTATTCGACCCCCTTTCCATTTAAGATTTTAGGGTTGGTGTCACCCCCGCAAAGGGGGCTGCACGTGTTAACGTGATTTTTTGCCACACTTGTGTCCCCCTCGAAAACAAAAAACCATAATCTTCCTTGTTCTCTCCAAAACCTCATCATTTATGGAATATTCAGAGGTAATCGAGTTCACTCTTCGACCATACTGACAAACTTTATACTTGGAATTGCTTAAGAAGAGGTTATATAATCATTTGGTACTTACCTTTTCTGATAGCGCTGCATAATCCATTAACAGGATGCGTATTGTCGCCGCATAAGCAGAATCCTCTAAGACACGTCGTTCCCTTGATAAATGTGCAGTTTACTTGGTTAGTGCAGGGCTTTCTCACTCCTGAAATAAATGATCTTCACGGAACCCATTACAAAATTTAAATCTTATCTAGATAAGATGGATAATAATCATTTATACGCTATGTTTACGTAACTTTAGCGAATAAATTCAACAAACCGCAACAGGATAGTATTTACAGGGTGACTTTGAAGTTGAGTCATTAATTTTCAGATAATGATTGTAGAAGGAAGATAAACCAAAATATGTGTGTAAAAATAAAAAAATAAAAATAAAAAAATGTCACCTTGTTTTATAAAGTATCCTCCCGACAAGTTTTCTGTATTTGATCGTGCGGTCTTGGAGCACCGGCATACCGTCCCCTGTGAGGTCTTAAGTCACCTGATTCACGAGCCCGTTGTACTACATTAACAAAGGCACGAGGGGTTGATTGCGCTCGATTGGGGAACCGATCCGCATAAACATGTGCAATTTTTTATTTCGTTTGAGCCACGCAGCAAACACCACTATTCACTCACGCGTTACCGACTGACACTGACTGTATACAACTGAATAAAATAATTGTAAAAACATCGTTCCAAATTCTTTCGCTTTTTTGTTTCCGATGCGATGAACCGATAAGGCGGATTATATCCGTTGTTGCCAAACACGAGCACATAATATTATTATTGAGACAGGGCGGTACTCAAACTTCCAAAGGGCTATAACTTTGTTACTTTAATTTTACCAGAAAAATGGTAAAGGAAAAAAACATTTCTTTTGATCAGATCTACTCGCTGTTAAAATAAATGACTCAACTTCGAAGTGCTGTAAATAATTTTAATAGTCGTTGAGATTTGGAAGTACATATTTTAGATCTATTCAGAGATAATGGAGTATATGTTGACCTCATACTACCTACTTTTTATATAAAAATCAAAATTTTGACAAGGTTATTACGAGTATTTTCAATATGAGTAAGAGTATCTTACTATATTATAATTTTGGAGATTTGTTATCCAATCATTTATTAATATTTTGAATGTGTGTTTTTCATATTTAGTTCTTTCTTGTGGTACATAGTTGTATACGAGTATCTTTTTTTTGTGTCAGTAGGCAATTTTGAGCATTTTGTTTCTTCCATTATAATAATACTTTCTATACTTATGCCTATGCCCGCTAAAAGTACTTCTCCACCACGTTCTTGTATTCTTTGAAGCGATCTATACTAAGTGACATATAAATCCGAACACCCAGTTTAAATGGTTTTATTTTAATAAAAGTTGGTGAATGTTGGACATTCCGGTTTTTATACTGCTTTTTTTTAATTCACTAACGCTCTAAAAATGAATATTTCAGCCGCTGTAAAGAATCAACGTTGGCGGATTTTGGTTCTTGACATCCTTTACGATCGGTTACGATGCCTAGAGTACGGAGACCTGTACGATTTCGTCAACTTAGTGAGTTTGATAGGGGCCGTATAGTGGGACTTCGGGAAGCTGGACTTTCTTTTCGGGCAATTGCAGTTAGAGTGCAAAGAAGTGTAGACACTGTGGTTAGGTGTTGTCAGGCATGGCTTCGAGAAGGCCGTACGCAAAGAGCAAGGGCCACTGGACGCCGCCTAAGATTATTATCCGTAAGGGACCGATTCTCCACTACCAGGTCCATTGCAAATGAATGGTTTGCAGAACACGGAAGACCTATTGGCATGCGAAGTGTTTACCGACAAATGAGAAGTTTTGGCTTGTTTTCATACCGGCCACACTGGGTCCTCCCTTTAACTCGAGAACACCGACGTAATCGCCTTGAGTGGTGCAGACAACGGTCACTCTGGGATCAGGAATGGAACAGTATTGTCTTTAGTGACGAGTCTCGATTTTGTTTAGGCATGCACGATGGTCGTGCCAGGGTTAGAAGGCGACGTGGTGAAAGGAGGAATCCACAGTTTTTTGCTGAAAGACATGTTCATCACACTGTTGGAGTTATGGTTTGTGGTGCTATAGCTTATGGTTCCAGGTCACCTTTAATCTTCATCAGAGGTAACATGAACGCGCAGCGTTATATCCGCGAAGTTCTAGAACCCCATCTTTTACCCTATCTTGACACCCTGGCAGATCCAACCTTCCAACAAGATAATGCCCGACCACATGTTGCAAGAGTCACAATAGACTTCTTTCAACATAATGATGTCACATTGTTACCATGGCCACCAAGATCACCCGACTTATCCCCAATTGAGCACGTGTGGGATATGATGAGTAGGAGATTGCTCAATTTGCAACGTCCTCCTCAGACTCTAGAAGCACTTCGAGAGGAGTTGGTGGTTGCCTGGAATGAGATACCACACGAGGACATTGACCACCTGATCAGAAGCATGCCTAGGCGCGTTGGAGAATGCGTAGCACATCAGGGTGCACCCACACATTATTAAAGGTCAAAGGGCTTTAAAGCAGTGCAATCATTTTGAAATTTTTATCATTTACTTATTATGCTTCATTAAGTACTAATACAAAATTTTATTAAAATAAAACCATCTAAACTGGGTGTTCGGATTTATATGTCACTTAGTATAGTTGAAACGGCGGTATTGAAACTATTCCATCAGAGCTAAAGTGTGTCACACCAGTCATTAGTGTATGAGTGATCTTCAGACTCTACAGATGCATTTGTAGACGTGTTAGAACACATTATACATATTTAACCTAGCGCCTGAAGCTTATCCTGTGGTTTTCATAAGGGCCAGGAAATTGCGAGTATACCTCTCGAAAAAAATGTCGATTCAAGTCACTCCATGTAAATAGAACGTACACTTATCCGAGAAAGAAATATTAAATAACAGATTTACATTGTTGATTAAACGTTGATTCGGAAAACTCCAATCTTCTATCAAAATCGTTTTGTCTTTAAAAATTCTTTGTATTGCTGAGCATGTAAATCATGGAGTGCTTTGGGTGTTGTCAAGTGCTACGTGTCCCAAAACTGCTATTTCTGCGGCTTCATTTCTAGCTGGTCGGTTTTCTCGATGACGATTACAGATCCAGTTTCTTCAAATTTTCTCATCAACTTGGCCGCATACTTATCGGTCATATTTTTGTCAGGATGTAACGCATTAAACAACCGGGCAGTAGCTCTTGCAATGCTCCCGTTTTGGTAATACAGTTTTGTTATTTCTACCCTTTCTTAAATTGAATAAGTTCAATATGTATCACAACTACGTAGGTAACTTAACAGTTTGAAATGAAATACAAAGTTTTTCTATGACATACGATGACACAGACTGATGCTAAATGTTCTTGCTGGTATCCATGATTATTATTTTTTGATTGATGATATACTCGTATATGGTGTATAAGTACGTATCAATAGCTATTATAATCAGATATTAAACCTACATCTTTTTGGCATTACAATACATAGAAAACTGTACTAGAGGTTTCTTCGTATGGGACATACAGAGTCAATCTACTTGACGTCATTTTTAAGCGAAAATAAGTGGATGAAATACGATTAAATTACAACCAATGTTAGCGGAATAATTAGTGTCTTCGGTTTATTAATAATTAAACAGGCAATCTACTATTCAATATTGTGATAGTTCTTTAGCCATCCTTGGAACGGCAACTGACAGCTAATCCAATGAGGTCACGTGCTGTCGAACTTTAACCTCAACTAATTGTTTGCTTGATTTGAATTGGAAAACCGTTCGAAATATACCGTACACATTTGCGTGGAACGCGGTTTCATCTGAGAAACGATCCTATAATACTACTTCCTAAACATGTCGTCTTCTAAAACGGAAATGCCTGTTCATCTGCGACCTAGTGCTATACCAATGTCAATATTTAAATTTTTACTTCCAAAAAAAAAGATAATGTCTTTTAGATGCTAATTGACATGCACATTTTTTCTTCTACAAGACATTGAAATTTGTTTGGAGATCATATTATGATATTAAGCTATAAAACCAAACTAATATTGATAACAGTATTTTTGTGCAAGGGCTCGTATTTAGCCAATATTTCCATACATACATATGAACTAATAATTCAATACGAGCCCCTTCCCACTTCTGTTGGCCCACTTCAAGATTGATAAACTAAACATGACGAAACTATTTACTTCTAAAACCATTTTTTTTTTCTCAAAAACATTTTAGACACACTCTAGTTGTAAAACATACATATTTGAAATCACTTATACCTATAACTAATAGAACATCTGAATAAATAAACAATGCGCGAATATAGTCAACGCCAAACAAAGTGGCGTGCACGTCATCACGATAAAAATTCCCCGACCTAATGGCTAGGTTTCTATCACAAACAATTGCTCTATTGCAGTTTCATATTAATGTGATATATAAATTGTAAAATGGTCATTACTCTCTTATTATGGTTAATAGTCATATAAACATTGTTATTAAAATATCACATAAGTTGCTTTCTGATAAATTTAGACGCATTATGCGAAATAAAATGTTTTGCAAACGCTCCAATCACTTATCGACATGTAAACGCACTAAACCGATTTCGCAGTGTTGACACATTGTCACCTTGAAACTTATTTAAACTGGGAACTGACATTTGTATTAATTTTGACACTGCATCAATTTGTGGCATTTCAAATCTTTATAAATCCTTTGGCCCCGCATACTGTAAATCAACAACTGTTTGTTTCAAAACAAAATTATTCATTTTACGAGTAGATAAAGGCAATTTTGGTATATAAAGATGCCCAAACAGTTAAATAGTCGGTGTAAGGAACTCGTGGCCTCGTTAATGCACTACTTTGAGCAAGAAAAGGACAACAACGGGCCTTTGTTGCCTTTAAATGCTGTTCAAGAGGTAGGTTACTAATAATTATATGTAATGTATATTAATAATAGTGAAATTAGTGATCTATAATATGTATCACAAAAGTAAGATCTCATTATAATAACTTATCAGAAATTTGCATTAATTTGTTAACTAAATTATAATGTCATATTACACATGGTTTCAGAAGAACAAGTTACGATACAAACTTTATGGTCTCGATTAAGAGATAGGGCATTATTTGATGGTAGTGCCACGTCTTTAAGGCGGTTGCTTAGAGATCTTGGATTTAAGTGGCTTAAGGACAATCCGCGACGAGGGCTCATGGAACTACCAAGTATAGTTTTGAAAAGGGTGGAATTTCTAAGGCAATACAATCAAGCCAAGGTTGAGGCCTTATACCAGTTTGTCTTCCTCGATGAAACTTGGATATTTCAAAATGGGACCATAGGTCGCTCTTGGCAAAATGGAAACCAAAAAAGCGTGAAAGCTATTAAAACAGATGGTAAAAGGTATGTACTTTTACACAATTTGCACTATAAAATTTAAAACTAATATATTTTAGATACATTATATTACATGCTGGAAATGAAAATGAGTTTATTGAGGGTAGTGAAGCGATATTTTCTTCGAAAACAAAATTGAGCGATTACCATGGAGAGATGAACCAGGACAATTTTTTGAAATGGTTTCAACATCAGTTATTAGAAAAATTGGAGAGTCCATCTATGATTATACTGGATAACGCCCCTTATCACAGCATGATATTGAACAAAGTGCCCAACAATGCATGGACAAAAAAAAAATATCCAAGGCTGGTTGACAAATCAAAACATACCATTTTTAAACACAATGTTTAAAACAGAGCTATTGAGTATTGTTGCTCGGTACATAATGCTTCTTAATTATATATATTTTGGTCGACAGTTTATATTTCTTTTGTTTATTCCTATTCTTAAAATAACTGCTTTTTTAGAAACAAACCACCTAAAATATACGTGATTGATGAATTGGCGGAACAACATGGGCACAAAGTTCTTCGTCTGCCTCCTTACCATTGTATATTTAACCCTATTGAGTTAATTTGGGGCATAGCAAAAGGTTACTATAACAGACATATTGGTAGAGATGGTAACAGTGAAAAAGGCTGTTTGGATATGTGGAACGAGGCTCTACAAACGGTTACCCCAGACATGTGGAAAAATAGTGTTCGACATACTGAGCAAGAAATTTTTAAATGGTATGAAAGAGAACGAATTTTTGATCGACCAGACATCGAACCTTTAATAATCAACTTTGAGAGTGATGAAGATTCAGTAGCTTACCTAATTTTAGAATGCATTTTTCTGTATGAATTCTGTAAAATAAATACCATGCATAAAATTTGGAGGACCCCATTTGGATTTTTATTCAGTACCTTTAAGCTATCAATTAAATATGGTAGTTTCATAGTGTCATCTGATCAATAATTGTCATACTTAATGATTATGCAAGTACAGATCTATAATTTTATTATACTATTATTTTTGTTCTCATTTGAGGTTAATATTGCTTATAAACCTAGATATGTAAATAATAAATTTTATTATTTTACAAAAAGTTTGGCAACAATGTAAATTTTTCAACACACCCACCTTGATGACGCGCACGCCACTTTGTTTGGCGTTGACTATAAATGCGCGAAGTTAACAAAGCAACAATTGAAAGAGTACCATTGGGTAACATCACCTTTATTTTTTATTGCGGCTAAAATTCTTTGTGTTTGATAAGAAAAAAAAACTAAGATTTCAATAGTTGGGCCAACTGAAGTGGGAAGGGGCTCGTAAATGAAGATATCAAGCTTTCGGCTAACTGAATCTTGCTCTAAATCCATGAAAAACTGTAGCATTGTTATTTACTAAAAAGCATCCAGAGTGCATGTTATCTCCGACTCAAAAATTAGGATAATAATACTATAGCAACCGTCAACGAAGACGTATGAGATATAGAGTCCATCTACTTGACGCCTTTTTGGAAGTTTCCCTGAGGCTAAAGGCAACTAGCAATGACCAGCAACTGTTGAGGAACTGTTATCGTGACAACTCTTGCATGTGCAGTTCTGTACCTCAGAGCCAGTCTAGGTTAAGTCCGTTTTTGTCAAAAATGAGTTTAATATGTTAAGCTTATGATAATAATGTGAATTTTCATTTGCTACATGCAGCGTCCATCTAACTTTAATAATAAGGAAGTTACGACTTTTTAGCTCATATCAAGTCGTATTCAATACAATGCAAGAAACTTATTTCATATACAGGGTGTTTCAGTTTATTGTTGCATAACATTAAGATTCGATAGAACTTTTAAAATTAATGCATAAAGTCTATATAAACATGGGTCGAAAAATGCGTGGCTTCCGAAATACAGGGTGTTTAAGTTTACTTTCTAAAATAGTTTTTTTTAAATATTTCGAGCAATATTTGATGTATAACAGTGAAAATTGGTATACAAGGGTTTTTTGGTACGACAAAACGAACCATGGGCATAGTTTTACTGTAGCCGTATTAAAATGACCGAAAATTTTTTCTTAGTGCAATTTTTTGCTTTTTGAATAAAATAACTGATTCTTCGCACTTTTCAACATAAAAAAGCTCTCTTGTGAATTTTCGTTATAGTTAGCCGTTTTTGAGATATTTCGATTTTTAAGGTTCGATGCATTTTTAATTATTTATGATAAAGTCAGTATCTCGATAATTTTTAGAAGTAGGCTGTGCCTGCAAATATTTTTGAAAATGAAAGTATGCAGTTCGGGAAAGAAATTTTCAGCATGAATTTAGTGTGAACGTGTGGATTGGTATCTACCGTAATCGACTATTTGGACCCTACCTTTTGCCTGCAAGGTTAAATGCTGGGACCTTCTTGGAATTTTTGAAGGCTGATCATGCAAATATGTGGGATGATGTTATGTTAGATTTAAGAAGATTGGCCTGGTTCCAGCTTGATGGTTGTCCAGCTCATTATTTGAGAATAGTTAGAAACTGGCTGAACGAAAATTATCCAGAGAGATGGATCGGCCATGGAGGACCAGTCGCCTGGCCTCCACGATCCCCTGACCTAAATCCATTAGATTTTTTTGTGTGGGGATTTCTAAAAGAAAAAGTGTACCAGACTCCCGTAACCACAAGAGATATGCTAATAGACAGAATCAGGAATGCATGTGATGAAATAAGGCCTTATTTGAATAATGCTATACCACGATCGATCATTCGTAGATGTGAATTGTGTATTGCACAACTGGGTTTACATTTCAAGCAACTACTTTAGATTTTGTATGTTTGTCCTAACTATCCAATAGCATTTTAGTTGTAAATAATTAATTTAATTTGTTAAAAATAATATTGGAAAATTAAACAAATTAATATTCTGTTTTTTGTGTTTATTTGGAGTTAGGAATTATCGCTGTGTTTAAAAACACAATCTAAACGATCATCTTAATTACTTGTAATGCCCAAATCGAAAATGTAAAAAAAATATTATTTTCCCATAAATAATTAAAAATGCATCGAACCTTAAAAATCGAAATATCTCAAAAACGGCTAACTATAACGAAAACTCACAGGAGAGCTTTTTTATGCCGAAAAGTGCGAAGAATCAGTTTTTTTATTCAAAAAGCAAAAAATTGCACTAAGAAAACATATTCGGTCATTTTAATACACTACAGGTACAGTAGAGAGCGCCCTCTAGCGGCTACAGTAAAACTATGCCCATGGTTCGTTATGTCGTACCAAAAAACCCTTGTATACCAATTTTCACTGTTATACATCAAATACTGTTCGAAATATTTAAAAAAAACTATTTTAGAAAGTAAATTCAACGACCCATGTTTATACAGACTTTATGCATTAATTTTAAAAGTTCTATCGAATCTTAAAGTTATGCAACAATAAACTGAAACACCCTGTATAATTATCTCACAACTACTTATTTGGACTCAACCTAGCCTGGCTATGAGGTACAGAGTTGCGCTCTCAGGTTTATAGAATTAAAAGAATGGTCGTAAATATATACAAAGTGAGCGTTATCCTTACCTGCCTCTGTGAGCGGCTGGGAAGTAGCACTTCCATCGGGGGTCCCCTTACTCCTCCCGTACGAACTCATCATTCCCAATCCTTCGCAACCGCACGTGGCCATCGCCAACAGCACTAGAACCATCCCCATATCGTCGCTGCAAGTTGGAAGCGATCTTCTGCGGTCACCTTGAGCAGATGGCGATGGTGTTCAGGAACCAACCTCCAGCTGTATCTCGTTGCGAAGTTGACGACGGCGTTCGGGAATCACCGGTTGAGAAGTTGATTGCAATCTTCGGCCGCTACTCGTTGAGAGGTTGATGACTGACTTCAGCGACCACCCGTTGAGGAGTTGATTGAGGCTTGATGGCGTAGACGGACGCGACCCTGAGCCCTGAGCTTGACGGCCAAGGGCCGCGCAGGCTTGCATGCTTAATTTATGCTACTGCTGGAGGGCAACGAGTTGCATAATGGGGTTGCTTGAGAGGATATGTGGATACGGGGGTGGTTAGATATCTTCCGAAATATGATGAGCTTCATCTATACAAAGGTATTTTACAATTTTCGTTATTGAAGCCCTTTCTCACTTCCTATATTGAGAAAACTAGGTCAATTGAATAATTGTTCTAGAAAATTTTTATTACTTGCACTACATTTTTCAATTCATCTAAATAACTAAATTATTCTGTTTAATTAAAGCAGTTTTGAAGGTAATGTACTATTAAACTAATTTGCTTGAAAGTAGCAACATGTAATTATTTTATTAAGCAATATTAATTATCAATTTATGTAGAAAAGGTTTAAAACAATTAAACATTTTAATAAGCACAGTAAAATTTGTTTATTTGAATCGCGGACTTCGGCCTTTTTTTATACTCCAACTACCACGGCCTAAGGCCACCCATTGGGTATCGAGGGGCTATAGAGGGATACAGGGAAAAGGGGGAACGCCACACGGACCCTGGCGAGGGAACACGTGTAGGGGAGACCGGGGCTGGTTGTCACATGGGTTGGTTGTCACAATTGTTGAATCTCAGCAGCTCCGCAAGATGTAGTTGCCTGGCGCGCTACAAATCGTTTCTGCGTCCGCGCAGAACACTTGTATTCAGTACGAAAGTTGTCGTTGGTAGATTAAGGTCGCACGCACAAAAATAAACTAATCGCCTAACGTGAGTAAATTTTTCGTTTGCCACATAATTTGTGTTTTCAAGACTACATTTGATAATAAAAAGAACTGTTGAATTTATTTTGCTCTTCAATAATCCGAATACGACTTAACGTAAGTATTGACTTTGAATTGGTTAATTTAGTGACGCTATCTAACCTTAAAAATTAATTATCTAGTGGGACAGGTTGTCTCAAATTAACGGGGGCCTCTTGTCACATGTGACAACCAGCCCCCACACTAGACGATTAGCTTTGCACATCATTCTACGTAGGTATATGTATACAATGTATTTTTTTAATATTGGTTACATAAGCATGGTTAAAATTTCAAAAGGAAGACTGAGAAGGGCAAAGCGCCGCCTGACGTACTTTTAAGAGCTGCTAGGTAAGAAAATTCCAGACTCTGAATTACTTGATCATCGAGTTGATGCGTCATCAATTTCAGTAGTCTACCTCAAAAATCATTTAGTATTTGAGCCTGAACTTGAAAATCATCTAGTGGAATATGTACTCAAAGCATCTGACATTTATACTAAGTGACATATAAATCCGAACACCCAGTTTAAATGGTTTTATTTTAATAAAATTTTGTATAAGTGCTTATACAGGGAATAAGTAAATGATAAAAATTTCAAAATGATTGCACTGCTTTAAAGCCCTTTGACCTTTAATAATGTGTGGATGCACCCTGATGTGCTACGCATTCTCCAACGCGCCTAGATATGCTTCTGATCAGGTGGTCAATGTCCTCCTGTGGTATCTCATTCCAGGCAACCACCAACTCCTCTCGAAGTGCTTCTAGAGTCTGAGGAGGACGTTGCAAATTGAGCAATCTCCTACCCATCATATCCCACACGTGCTCAATTGGGCATAAGTCGGGAGATCTTGGTGGCCATGGTAACAATGTGACATCATTATGTTGAAAGAAGTCTATTGTGACTCTTGCAACATGTGGTCGGGCATTATCTTGTTGGAAAGTTGGATCTGCCAGGGTGTCAAGATAGGGTAAAAGATGGGGTTCTAGAACTTCGTGGATATAACGCTGCGCGTTCATGTTACCTCTGATGAAGATTAAAGGTGCCCTGGAACCATAATCTATAGCACCCCAAACCATAACTCCAACAGTGTGATGATCATGTCTTTCAACAAAAAACTGTGGATTCCTCCTTTCACTACGTCACCTTCTAACCCTGGCACGACCATCGTGCATGCCTAAACAAAATCGAGACTCGTCACTATAGACAATACTGTTCCATTCCTGATCCCAGAGTGACCGTTGTCTGCACCACTCAAGGCGATTACGTCGATGTTCTCGAGTTAAAGGGAGGACCCAGTGTGGCCGGTATGAAAACAAGTCAAAACTTCTCATTCGTCGGTAAACACTTCGCATGCCAATAGGTCTTCCGTGTTCTGCAAAGCATTCATTTGCAATGGACCTGGTAGTGGAGAAACGGTCCCTTAAGGCCAATAATCTTAGGCGGCGATCTTCACGGTCTGTTGTTCTACGGCGGCGTCCAGTGCCCCTTGCTCTTTGCGTACGGCCTTCTCGAAGCCATGCCTGACAACACCTAACTACAGTGTCTACACTTCTTTGCACTCTAACTGCAATTGCCCGAAAAGAAAGTCCAGCTTCCCGAAGTCCGGAATGTCCAACTGATAAGGCTGAAAATTTTTTCACTTGTGATTTACAGTAAGATAAATACATTCACCAACTTTTATTAAAATAAAACCATTTAAACTGGGTGTTCGGATTTATATGTCACTTAGTATATGTGCATATAACGCTTCAGATCGAATAAAAAAAGAATTACTGAAAATTGTGACATCTAGCCCCGGTCAGAGACCCTCTACCACCTTCGGACAATCACAGCATCCATAGCCAAGAGGAAATTTTCTCCTGGGACGGGATTCGAACCCGCACAGCGCACGGCGACTGATCAGGAGACCGAAGAGTCTACTACTGCGGCCACCGCTGCTGCCTGCTCTTTAAGGTACTCACTAAAACCCCCGAGTCGTTCGCCACCTATGTCATCACGGTAATCCTTGCTGCATTTTGTCAGAGTGGGTAGCGTGGCATTAGGTTTTCATACCGAAGGTATCAGTCATCTAACGTACACATGCAAACTTTTATAATGTTCAATCGATCAAAATAGAAACCTACTATTGGTTCCTTGGTCTATTTCTGTTCTGTTGAATATCGACCCATTTCCCTCGCAATATTGTCAGCAGTGAGCTTCTCGCCGAGGGTCAGTTCCAGCTGTGTCTGGTAGTCAACCCACCTACCATCTTCTAGCAACGGCCCTAGGACGGAGCCCTGCGGCACTCCCATGGCTATCTTCATCGAATTTTGCCCTACCATAAGTGTCTTCTCGTCAAAATATACTAAGTGACATATAAATCCGAACACCCAGTTTAAATGGTTTTATTTTAATAAAAGTTGGTGAATGTATTTATCTTACTGTAAATAACAAGTGAAAAAATTTGAGCCTTATCAGTTGGACATTCCGGTTTTTATACTGCTTTTTTTTAATTCACTGACGCTCTAAAAATGAATATTTCAGCCGCAGTAGAGAATCAACGTTGGCGGATTTTGGTTCTTGACATCCTTTACGATCGGTTACGATGCCTAGAGTACGGAGATCTGTACGATTTCGTCAACTTAGTGAGTTTGATAGGGGCCGTATAGTGGGACTTCGGGAAGCTGGACTTTCTTTTCGGGCAATTGCAGTTAGAGTGCAAAGAAGTGTAGACACTGTGGTTAGGTGTTGTCAGACATGGCTTCGAGAAGGCCGTACGCAAAGAGCAAGGGGCACTGGACGCCGCCGTAGAACAACAGACCGTGAAGATCGCCGCCTAAGATTATTGGCCTTAAGGGACCGTTTCTCCACTACCAGTTCCATTGCAAATAAATGGTTTGCAGAACACGGAAGACCTATTGGCATGCGAAGTGTTTACCGACGAATGAGAAGTTTTGGCTTGTTTTCATACCGGCCACACTGGGTCCTCCCTTTAACTCGAGAACACCGACGTAATCGCCTTGAGTGGTGCAGACAACGGTCACTCTGGGATCAGGAATGGAACAGTATTGTCTTTAGTGACGAGTCTCGATTTTGTTTAGGCATGTCCGATGGTCGTGCCAGGGTTAGAAGGCGACGTGGTGAAAGGCGGAATCCACAGTTTTTTGTTGAAAGACATGTTCATCACACTGTTGGAGTTATGGTTTGGGGTGCTATAGCTTATGGTTCCAGGTCACCTTTAATCTTCATCAGAGGCAACATGAACGCGCAGCGTTATATCCACGAAGTTCTAGAACCCCATCTTTTACCCTATCTTGACACCCTGGCAGATCCAACTTTCCAACAAGATAATGCGCGACCACATGTTGCAAGAGTCACAATAGACTTCTTTCAACATAATGATGTCACATTGTTACCATGGCCACCAAGATCTCCCGACTTATCCCCAATTGAGCACGTGTGGGATATGATGGGTAGGAGATTGCTCAATTTGCAACGTCCTCCTCAGACTCTAGAAGCACTTCGAGAGGAGTTGGTGGTTGCCTGGAATGAGATACCACAGGAGGACATTGACCACCTGATCAGAAGCATGCCTAGGCGCTTTGGAGAATGCGTAGCACATCAGGGTGCATCCACGCATTATTAAAGGTCAAAGGGCTTTAAAGCAGTGCAATCATTTTGAAATTTTTATCATTTACTTATTATGCTTCATTAAGTACTTATACAAAATTTTATTAAAATAAAACCATTTAAACTGGGTGTTCGGATTTATATGTCACTTAGTATAGCTCTTTGTTATGTGATAACTGGGGGTGACTAGCTCCTTGAGAGATTCTACGATTTTCTGCCACTGTGCTGTGGTAAAGCCATTCTTAAAAACTCCTAAACCTTACAAGCGTTAAAATGAGATACTAACTATTTGGGGTGTTTATGTTCATTCATGAGCCGTTCGTGTTCTATAACTCGGCAACAATGACAATAAACGGCTAACTCGTAGTTAAGCGGATTATTTGCCTTCTATACACAGGCGAAAGCAACTGCTATATTTTGTCTGTCTCGGGGTAATTTCCGAGTTAACAGGGGCTGCTACGCGTGCAATTGGTATTGCAGTGGCCGGTTTAACGGCATTTCCTTTTCGTAGCACATTGTTACAAGAACAGC